TTCCTCTATGTTCCAATTCCTTGCGCTTCCCAGAGGTGGACATGGACGGGGTACCTGCTTCACTCGAGGTCCCAGACTTGGTTGCAGAGACAAAATCAAGAGCTTTTCTCGGTGCCTTTGACTTTTCCTGCTCCTTCGCTTTTGCAAGTTGCTTCTGCGAAGCCTTCAGTTCCTCAAAATAGGCCCAGGGCGGAAAACTTGTCGGTATGGCGACGTCGCTTGACAGCGTAGACGCATAGGATTCCTCCTCAGTTATGCCTGCAAAGTCCAACAACTTCTGAGAATGGCCAGGGTCGCGCAGTACGGACGAGCTTTCCAAGCGGTGGTTGAAGTGCTGGTTCTTCTTCTTGAGTTCGAGAAACTGCGCAAATTTCTTGGTCGCTTTTTGGGGCGGCGATCCGGGAGGTGAAGGTGGTATGTCGAAGTTTGGTACGGTAGGTAAAGTGAGGTTCTGGATCAAGGCGCGGGTTGTTGTAAATGGTGAGCCTGGAGCAGCATCGTCCGGTAGGTCATTGTCAATGGGAGGTGGTGTTGCAGCTGGTCCTTGCGAGGGCCCGCTGACTGATCCTTGGGAAGCAGAAGGCTTCTCGAGAGGTGGAGGAGGTGCAGAAGGCGGTTCTGGGACTGGGGCAGGCGCAGGCGCAACTGTCGCAAGAATGTTGGTCAACTCTCTATTAGTAGCGGTCGAAGCCCTCTGGGGACGTTTGTGAGTCTCACCTCTGGCTTCGTCTCCGGTACAACCTCTTCCTCGTCACTATCTGGATAATCAATTCCGAGCATCTTGAATTGCACAATGCTCGTGGGCCATCATCTGTAGCTGGCTTGAGTATACGGAGCTTGGGCCAAGTCTATCTCTTGGCGGGCGAGCTGCGCAACCACCGACTGCCTACACGCACCGTCACAACAACCTCGCCTTCCCGCCCACTTTGAGATATCAGCTTGCAATTTCGGCCTCGAATCGCTGCCTCCGTGATACCCCGAGCTTCAGCAAAAACTTCCCAAACATGAACCACCTTCCACAGGCATGGGGCCGTGTACGTCTTCCACCCGCTGTCAATAGCAGTAGTACTAATGCATCACAGCCTAGAGACGATGTTTACGGTGCCTACGATCCCTCGCACTTTTCATCCGATGGCCCAAATCAGCACACTCAGAGCCCGATTGTTACCGGTACCTCAGTACTCGCGGCCAAGTTCAAGGATGGCGTAGTCATTGCGGCGGACAACCTGGGTATGACATAACACCATGGGCTACAGAGAATAGCCTTACTAATGCTGTTTCGCAGCTTCATACGGATCCCTCGCCCGTTTCACTGACGTCAAGCGTCTACGAAAGTTCAACGATGAGGTAGTCGTGGGTTTCGGCGGCGACGTCTCGGACATGCAGTACATCGACCGCCTTCTGAACTCCCTGGACATCCGCGAGAACTACTCTTCTTCTGAGAACTCGCTCAATGCGAAGAACCTCCACACCTACCTCGCCAAAGTCATGTACAACCGCCGATCCAAGTTCGACCCACTGTGGAACCACTTGCTTATTGTTGGCATGGATGGCGAGTCGAAGCCCTTTCTCGCAAGTGCAGACCTCCTCGGTACTACTTTCACATCGCCATCGTTAGCCACAGGTTTCGGTGCACATCTCGCCCAGCCAATTCTGAGGACCATATTGCCAGACGAGGCCGCTGTGGAGAACGTCACAAAGGAGCAGGCAGTGGAGAAGATCAAGGAGTGTATGAAGGTTCTCTTCTACAGGGATGCTAGGAGTATGGACAAGTACTCAATTGCGGTCGTGACCAAAGAGGGTGTTGAATTGGACGAGAATGTGAAGCTGGAGAACCAGAGCTGGGCCTTTGCAGACAGGATCAGGGGATACGGCACGCAGACTGTGTAGGTCTGTTCATAGTAGAAAGACGAACATCATGACGGAAGAAACCGCGGCCAATTAGAAGCCGCATTCTGAATGAAAGACATGAATGAATGTACCACCAACCGTCTGGCTGTGTTATTTCCTGTTATTATTCCACCGTGTGTCTTATGTAATACCACTGATGTTAGCAACTGGTGTATTGCGCACTTTCAACTGGCGCTGATCTCTGAGCCAAGGGGCCGACGGAGACAAAGTGGGGAAGCTCCGCTGACACGCGGGGAACTCACGACTTCTGTTCAACGCTGGGTTACTCTGCTTACAAAAACGTGCTGGGAGTGACAAATCTGCAACGAAATCAACATCACTGCCTCACCTGCAGCTCCAAAATTCCTTATTCAGACATATACGTCTACTCTATCTCACTTTCCCCTCCCTCTCTCGCAAGCATATTCACCTTAGTGCAATGTCATCTAGCTCAACGTCAAGAAAGCGAATTGTTTTCACGGGCGGCTCCGGAGTATGTGCATTTACGTCACTTCGCTATGCTTTTTGGAATCCTAGATTTTCTTGGCATGTATAGGGCACTTGGGCTCCAACATGTGTCTTCGAGATTTCCAAGCGTACAGATACATGAGATTACGAATTTCTTCCTATTTAGAATTCTACTGACTATGCACACTTCCTAGGTAGCAGGCCGCCATGTCATATCTGGGCTTTTGTCTCACGGCCATGAGATTCTCAATGTCGATGTGACACCATTGAATAATCCAGATGTGTACACATTAAAGGCGGACTTGACAGACGGCGCACAGGCGTTCAATAGTCTGTCTTGTCATTTCCGTGTTAGCGAACCATTCATGGAATCAGTCCAGACACCGGATGCAGTTGTGCATTTTGCTGGCATACCACAGCCGATGAGGATTCCAGACAATGAGACATTTCGAATTAACACAATGGGCTCATACAATGTTGTCGAGGCAGCCTGTAAGCTTGGAATCAAGAAGGTATATATATACTGTTTCAAAGTGATGAGAAAATCACTAATCATGTGAAAAGATCATCCTGGCTTCGAGCATCACTGCTTATGGCGTTACCTATGCAGAAGGCGACGTCGATTATGCACATTTCCCCATAACTGAGGACACGCCTACACAGCCCATGGATGTCTACGCTACGTCGAAACTCTGTATGGAACAAACTGCTGCGTCATTCGCTCGGCGCTTCCCAAGTGTGGACATCTATTGCCTGCGCATCTCGGCCGTCATTGAGCCCGAGAATCACGCTCAAAAGTTTAAAGCGTATCTGACAAGGCCACAGGACTTTAAAGTTCATGCGTGGAGCTACACGGATGCGAGAGACTTGGCAGGCATTGTCCACGCTTGCTTGCAGACCAGTGGACTAGGGTTTCAGGTCTTCAATGCAGTGAATGATGAGACTACGATACCAGAGTCAGAGGGAAGCATTGAAGAGTGGTTAAGAAAGACATGTCCTGGAGTGCAGATTATCCAAAAAATGGGAGATCGGGATTCACCTATTTGCAACAAAAAAATGAAAGATATGCTAGGATGGAGGGAGGAGTTTGGCTGGCGGAAAGTCATGAATAAGGGATAGAGGTAGTGTATCTCAAAGACATTTTGTTGAGGTTTGACCCCGGTTGCAGTGACATGCCGCAAAGTACGCAATACGCTTTCTTTTACGCTCGCTTCGGCTTTCGGTCTGGTTTTGACACCGATGTTCTTCTTTTTTTCCATGGATCATCTGCCATGTAAGACAATATGTCAGCATTTTGTATTAAGTTTACGACCATCCGTCAACCTTATTTCGATCACAAACATTGGTATGCACTCATTCATGGATCTTATCATTCAACACAACTGCTAAGAGTCAAACCCTGTTATTAACATATCCGACCAAGATGTACTTCAAGATGGCTTCTTGTAGTTAAACGTTGCGTAAATACGGATATGGCGGATGGGATTGGAGACCCTTGTCATTGTCTGGGGATAATACGCTTTACGAAAAACTGTGGGGCAAGCATCGAACGTCTATTCGCGTAGTTATACAAACTATCCATCGTACTTTCCCCGACTACCATATGACTAGCTATTCGGGGTTAGCGCAAAACAACAGCCCCTAAAGACCATCTGTTCGTCATCGTCAACTCCGGCCGTTTGTTCGCGACCGTCAACTCTGTACAACACAAACCGCACGGGCTCTCGCTCCGGATAACAGTAAGTAGACCTTGCCTTCACATTCCATCAACAGATAGGCGACATCAATATGTCAAATTAAGGTAGTACTGTGTAAACTTAGATACTGGGCAATGTCAGACATCGAGCCATGTGCATCAACGTCTGACGGCCGTACATTCGTCCACACACATGAAACCAGGTTACCGGAATGTATGTGAATACGAACAATTATCCAGTTCGTCCGAATTCATGTACCGGACCTATATACAAGGCTGGGGAGATCCGCATCGCTTCATCTCGAATGGCCTTCCGACCCTCCGACCCTCCGCGCGGTGCTTGCAGCAATGCACAACCCGACACTGCTAAGCCCAACATTGTAATCAAAGAGACTCACTGCTAAAACGATACTCCTTCACGATCCGTGAAAGGTTATTTGTGTGCTTATCACATTGCAGTGACTAGCATACGTTATACCTTCGCCTCCACTTCTAAGCGCTCGCTTTCACCACGGATATGACGACATAATGTAGCCTGGGATAGGACTAATCTCCACCAATATACCACGTGCAGCTATGCAGTCACCCGCACGTGTTCCGCCCCCATACTTAAGTCCGGGCGCCTTACGCTTCGTTGCGGAGGGTCGCATGGTCTTGTGTCCGTGAATTACGCCGCCTGCCAATTCTTAGTCCATGCACACCTCTCTGCTCCTTTCTTAAGTGGCCTTTAAACACCGTCTGGTAAGGGAAACTTTATTGTTAGGATTTTTCAAGAACTGATCTGCAAGTTTCCGTTCGACTTGACGATTTGCAGCTGCTTACGTCCACTCCGTGGTATAACCACCGTTCGGTAAGGCTTGTTCATTCTAGGCACGCCTATTCAAGGCAGTCTATCCAATACGAGTATGCTTACACTGTTGCAGTCAGTCCACATCCAACCTTCACAATGGCAACACCAGCCTCGCCAGACCCCACACGGGACAGACAAGAACCCCAGAACGAACAGAGGAACGAAGCATATGAATCAACACATCACAAAGAGGCAGAAACAATAGGAGATGCATTTGCTCATGATCCAGAAAAAGGCATCGAGAGCCAATCATCATCAACCCATTCAAACGAGCAAACACTGCCGAATGCGATACAGGCACAAGAACAAGAACAGGACCCCAACATTGTAGACTGGGATGGGCCGGATGACCCCAACAACCCTCAAAACTGGACTGCGAAGAAGAAATGGACTACTGTTGCCACCCTCGGCCTCGTCACACTGATCACTCCAGTCGGATCCTCCTTCTTTGCCCCCGGCGTACCACAAGTGATGCGAGCATTCCACGAGACATCAAGGGTCATAGCCGCATTCGTCGTCTCAGTGTACATTCTAGGCTTCGCCATCGGACCTCTAGTCATCGCGCCCATGTCCGAAGTCTATGGCCGCATGCCTCTCTACAACATCTGCGGCGTACTCTTCGTTATCTTCACCATTGCCTGTGCCGTCTCTGACTCAATGGGCATGCTCATCGCTTTCCGGTTTTTGGCTGGTTGTGCCGGCGCCGCGCCCGTGACCCTCGGTGGCGGTACAATCGCAGACATGTTCCCCGTCCAGGAACGTGCTGGCGCAATGACAATCTGGGCCATAGGCCCCCTTCTTGGGCCCGTCGTAGGTCCTATTGCGGGAGGCTTCCTCGTCGAAAATCTCGTCTGGCGTTGGGTATACTGGATCCTGGCCATCTTTGGTGGCGCCTTCGGTCTCCTCTTCCTCGTCATCGGTCGCGAAACCTACGCCCCTGTCCTCCTCGCCCGCAAAACCAAATCCCTCATCAAATCAACGGGAAATACCGATCTCCGCTCCAAACTAGCACAGGATCTCCCCCCACGCGAAATCCTCATCCGTGCTATCGTCCGGCCAATGAAGATGCTCCTCTTCTCCCCTATCGTGCTACTCATGTGTCTCTATATCTCCTTCAACTACGGCATTTTGTACCTCTTCTTCACAACAATCACCTTTGTGTTTGAGGGCCAATACAAATTCTCCTCGGGCTCCGTAGGTCTCGCCTACCTAGGCATCGGTGTGGGCATGGTTATGGGACTCGCGCTACTTGGCACAAGGTCCGACCGCTACATCAAGTACAAGCAGGAAACAAAAGGCAAAGCGAAGCCTGAGCATCGTCTTCCACTTGTTCTGACGCTGCCCGGTGCAATTGGCTTGCCCATTGGCATTTTCATTTACGGATGGACGGCGAAGAACAAGGTGCATTGGATCGTTCCTATCATGGCTATGGCGCCAGTGGGTCTGGGAAGTTTGACTGCGCTCATGAGTATTCAGACGTATCTTGTTGATGCGTTTACGCAGCATGCTGCATCGGTTGTTGCGGCCAATACGGTGCTTAGGTCAATGTTCGGGGCGTTCCTGCCGCTTGCAGGACTGCCCATGTATGATTCGTTGGGGTTGGGCTGGGGAAACTCACTCTTGGGGTTCATTGGTGTGGCGTTTATACCCGTGCCGATACTGTTTAGGTATTATGGAGAGAGGCTTAGGACGAATCCTAGGTTTCAGGTGCAGTTCTAGAATGTGGTCTGTTTCTCTTTTAGCGTATGAGACAGGATATATCATTAGGGTATTTTGGGTGTCAAGATAATGGATTACATATTGGGGCACATGACGAAAAAATAATTTCCTACACATTGTTAATAGATAATTTGCTAGAATTGAGATATTGGATGGATTTCGCAATCCGCTCTGTCTTCTTAGCAGTCTAATGTCAACCATTTCACTTAGTCAAGTCTATTGATAATTTCAACTCGACTATCTGACTTTTTTAGATATGGATATTAATTTTCTTTTGTTGGCATACGACAAACTACGCTTCAAGACTATTTAAAAAAAATAACACACAAAAGGGTATCTATTAATCCACCTCCTTCCCCTTTCCCTCGTCTTCTCTTCCAACTATATATATATGTTTTTGTAACCGTAGTGATGTAAAGAAAAGCCGCTAAAACATATAAACAAAAGAAAAAGAAAGCAAATCGGCTGATAAGCTACATAGGAAACGTATAAACACATGCGACATAAAGAGGGTTTTTGCTACTGATTAGACACACACAAAAAGGGGGAAGAATAAAGTAAGTAAGAAAAAAAAAATTGGGATAAAAAAAAAGAATGCTCGCTCAGTTGTTCCCCCCACAAGATGCCCCCCATACTCCCGGCCGCCCTTTTACCCCATTGCCCCTCCAGTCACTTAATTCCCACCTACCCACCCCCCGCAACCTTAACATTCTCTTCCGCATCCCCCGTCCCCGGCCTCCCCCTCGCATGAACCTTCAACGCATCAACCCTGGCCCCGGCCTCCCTCTGAATCGTATGTCTCAAATGACGGGGCGCCATTTCGCCCTGAGCCTCGAGCCGATCGAGCTCCTCCTCATCACTACTACTCACAGAGCTACTCCTTGAAATCTGCGTGTACACAACGGCGTCACCCTCTCTCTTTTTGCGTTCGCGCTGCTCTTCCTTCATGGCGGCCATTTTCTCAGCGTCGCCCTGGCAGTCGAGGGTGCGGATGTGGAGGCCGGGGAAGTTTTGGGAGAAGAAGGATTTCAGGTAGGGGAGGAGGGCGGCGTTGGGGCGGTAGGTGCCCGAGTCGTTGTCGATGACGAGTTCGTAGTAGGCGGGGTCTTTTTTGGGTGTGTCGTCGTGGGGGGGTCCGCCTTCGATGTCGTGAGGGGGGTGCGAGATGTTGTTTCCGCCTTCGTCGGGGGGACGGCGGTCCTTGTGTTTGAGGCGGCGGATGAAGAATTCGCCGGAAAAGGCAATGTAAGGGGCGACGTCGCTGTGCATGGTGTGTTTGCTAAGCATGTCAATGCCGAATTCTTTGCCGGTTTCCGTGAAGCGGAAGAGGGCGTCGAGGGTGAGGACGTAGGTGAAGATGCGGCCGCCTTGGTCGTAATGGACGAGTTCGAGGAATTTTTGCGTGAATTCTTTGCAGGGCTCGCGGATTACTTGAAATTCCGTTGCGTGATCAAAGTTGTAGACGCGGGCGTGTTGGTGGTGTAGGGCTTTGGAGAGGATATAGCCCCGAGCCCCCTTTGCTGTAAACATGCTCTTGACGAACGGCTTAAACTCAACAAAGCGGTGATACATTGCTTCAGGCACGGGGCCCCGCAACTGCATCTGGTTCGACTGGAAATTGTACTTTTGCGGTTTTTGCTTGCCGGTTCGTCGTGACACTTCGCCATCGTCATTGGGTTCTTTCTGGCCCAGCAGACGTCCGAGTAGCGGCGAGTAATGCCGTATCCAGAACTGCGGTCCTACTGTATATGTGCGTCCTCCGTTCTCGTCTTGTGTTCTGCCCAGTACCTCTACGCTGACGTTGAGTGTTCCGCTCATATGGTGCACCTTTCCGAAGCAAACCGCGACGGCGCGCAGCGCATACGCCCTCTTGCTAATCATGCGCTTCCTGATGGTATATGTCTGGTCGTGTATGCCCGGCCAGTTCTCGCTTATCGAAGGAACGACGACATGGACGTTACCGAGGCGATCGTCGTGGTCTGCGGGGTCCTCGTCGTAGATGCGGCACTTGAAGTTGAAGCCCGACGCCGGTACGTTTGCGACTATCCACTCATAGTTCCATTCTGGATCGGTGCTCTGGCGCACTGTATGGGTGCGCATCGTCAGGGGCGGGTCCTCCTTGTGTCGTGTCGGCAGGCTGGTGATGAGCTGGGCGACGACGAAGGGATCGGCCGAAAGGGTATTGATGTCGGCTAGAGGGAGGTTGTTGGCACGGTGCAGCGTAAACTTGACCGTGTATCCAGGCGGTGCGCGCGGTACCGGCGTGTCGTCGAAGCCTCCCTCGGGTCCCTTTTTCTTGCTGGCGGCCGTATCCGACTTCTGGGGCTTTGGGTACTCGACATTGGCGCCGTTTGTAGACTCGTCCTTTTCCACGGCTGGGTGTGCCTGTCCATTCTGGACGCCCGGTGGCGCCGAATCCCTCTCTTCGGGCATGCTTGCGACACGCGACGGCGCGTCTAGGCGCAAAGTCGACGAGAGCGAGCGGGCTTGGTGGACGGTGGGCGCGTTTCGGCGCAACGGGGCTGAGGGGAGCGCAAAGGGGAGGGGCTAAAAATTAGGTGCTGATTCCGGTAGTCGCAGTGTCATTGAGTGCGGCTACGGCATGTTGTGTGTAGAAGAAGGGGAGGGATACCGCGCAAACCCGGGTAAGGTACACAGTAAGACTGGAGAACGCGCAATCCAAGGCAGGCGCAGCGAGCGGGCGGGCGAGTGTTGATCGCTCCGGCCCTACCAAAAAACAAGCTCTGCTAAGCCTCGGGGCTAAACAGCCAACGGTTAGAACGGCCAAGCAGGGCAAGCCAATCCTACGTCGAGTTGGGAGGGGATCGAGGTCCCATTTGCCCGTCTAGTATGCAACGTCGTTTACTACGGTCTACTGCTGTCTAGTCCCCTCTTCTTGGCTCCACCCAACAAGGGAAAACTACCTCCATGTGACATGCGGGAGGGCAAAAGCCACACTCTCTGCCACCTGCACCCGCACCCGCACTCGAGGGACTACGCTGACGTCACATTCTGTTCTCGGATACCGGCTCGTCTCTGCTTCCGCCGGACCACGCGGATATCCGGTCGTAGTATTAGAGCCAATCGATGGTACTTTGCAAAATGTAGCATTAAAATTATTTCATTCCTTTTTTCTTGTAAAATTAAGAGTGAAGAGTCATAATCCACCACGTTCCACTAATCATAGTGCATCTACTGCAATCTACCAAGAAGAAGAAATCCTCCCTAATAGCAAAAACCAACGCCGACGCCATGCTCGCTACTAAATGCTCATGTTTTGACGAGGCAGAAAAAAAAAGGGGGGGTATCGTTACAACGAGCGACGCCAGCAAGAGTCACTCATTCACCAGGCCATAAGTCTTTAGAGATCGTTCTTCTCCTGTAGCGTGGATCGCTTAGGCAGCATGCATGACAATCTCCTTGCCCTTCATCGACTTCCACTCGACAAACGCAGCACCAAAAATCGAGACTGCTCCACAGGCAACCGACACGTAGAAGGTCTGGGTAAGCGTCGTGTTGTATGCTGAAAGCACGCCAGAGAGGAAATCAGGATCAATAGCGTGCTTGAGCTCAGTTGCACCGGTGCGGAGTACGATACCGGCATCGAGATCAGGCACAATGCTGGCCAGGTTCTTGATGAGCTGGTTGGTGAAGACGTTTTGGCCAACAGAGATGAAAAGAGCGCCACCAAGAGTCTGGAAAAACATCATGGTAGCCGTGCCAATGGGAACATCCTCTGCGGGAAGCGCTGTCTGAACAGCAACCAGGATCTGTTGCATACCGAAACCGACACCAGCACCGAAGATGAACTGGTAGCCAATCCATTCCGGGGAACCACTGTCGACTTCCATTGTTGCGAGCAGACCAGCGCCGATGGACATGAGGACCGACGAGAGGAGCATGAACGGCGTGTAGTAACCAATCGCAGTGACGGCGCCACCAGCAAGCATCGAGATGATGACGAGACCGAGGATGGCAGGGAGGTTCATGATTCCAGACTTTGTTGCCGAAGCTCCCTTGATGGCCTGGAACCAGATGGGCAGGTAGTAGACCATGACGAAGAAGCTAGCACCCAGCATAGCACCGAACAGTGCAGATCCCCAAACGTTGCGGTTCAGGAAGACGCGAGGAGGAACCGTGGCATCTTCCTGCTTCCACCACTGGATAGCAAGGAATCCGCATGTGAGAAGGACAAAGAGGACCAGGAGCGCAATGATGCGGCCGTCCTTCCACTGATACTTGCTGCCACCCCACTGGAGAGCGAGCAACAAACAAATAATGGCAGGCAAGAAGCAAGCCGTTCCGGGAAGATCGAACTTCTGAATCTGCTCACGCCATGTAGCCTGGACCTTTCCGCCACGGCGGGTAACATGGAGAAAGGGAATGATGAAAGCCGCCGTGATGGCACCAAAGGGAAGGTTGATGTAAAAGCACATTCTCCAGTTGACGTGGTCAGTAAAGGCACCGCCCATGAGGGGTCCAGCTACACTTGCGATTCCGTACATGCCTCCAATAACGCCCATGTACGTAGGACGCTGGCGCAGCGGTACCGTCACCGAGACGATCAGAATGGCTCCAGAAAAGATACCAGCAGCACCAACACCAGCAATGGCACGTCCAATGATGAGCGCCGTCGAGTTTGGCGCAACAGCACAGATGAGCGAGCCGAACTCGAAGATGGCCAGGGCAGTCAAGTAGATCCACTTGATCGAGTAGTATGTATAGAATTTACCGTACATGAGCTGCGTCGCGCACGTGGTAAGGAGGTACGACGATCCATACCAGCCAACATCATTCAGAGCCTTGAACTGGTCCGTAATGCGAGGGATGGCTGTTGCGATGATGGTGTTGTCCTGCACGTGTGCGTGTTAGCTAATGCTGACGAGATGGATCGGCAGCCGATTTCATATGCGTAAGTAAGGTGGCGTCGATCACCGTTGTGGTACCAAAGTTGTGGAACCAAGGGAGCTAACGGGCATTGCACTAGACTTACCAGGGCC